ATGGAATGCATGCATGGCCAGATCGCAAGTGATACTAATAGGGGCTCCACATTAGGACTTGAATAGATAACTGCATCATTTTGCATATTCAAAGAAGAAGTCCCATGTTTTTTCAACCTGATTGACCCAACATAAATTTCTACTTAGGTGGTTGTTGAGTGCGCTTAGATTGTTAATGGCTTCCTCGACCCAGATGGGGAGTAAGACCTACTTTTGGGAGTGTTTCCATTATTGTATTTGAATCTCCATTTCTTTTCCGTTCTAATAACTTCCTTTCCATTTCAGCGGGTGTAAGTCTTACCTTTTAGAGCTCCACCAGATAGTCATAGGATAGAGCTTCTTTAATTTGACCTTAAAGCTATCGGGATCCTTGTGAATGATGTAATTCATGGATTGTTGATCGAGGATCTGTAAATGTAATGCATCAACTACCTTCACGACTAGGTAGACTTAGGGATCTAGTGGCTTAGAATGATGGTTTTCTGATGCCTCAACTTAGCTACCTCTACTTGTTAGGGATTTATACTCCCTTCCTTTGACTACCCACTTTGAGCCCAATCACTCCTCTTACTATCGTTGATATCATCTTCACGGCTCAATTATCAATGAGTTGTTGACCTTGTTTGGGATATGACAATTTTTCATCTGTCCTTAAGACCCAGATGTGCTTTGTCGTATTTAGATTCTCCATCAGGATGATTTGGCTCTTTTGTAGGCTCCATATACCGATGAGTTTGTTACCCATGTGGGATCGTGAGATACTCACTCTTTGCTCCGTGGCTTATTGAGAGCTTTGAAAGCTACAAAGAATTGCCTTGCAAAATAATTATCCTTTAATATCTCTGAGCTACTTGTCACTTTAAATGTAAGCAAAAGTTTTTGGATTAAGTGTATTATTGGACACTCCTGAGATGTAATTAATCAAGTGAGATACATCCCATTGGGAGTACTCTGGACCCCATAATTGGAAACACAACTAATTATCTCATTGTGGGTAGCTTTCATTAGCAATCTTTTGTGGATATCTAACACAAGCTATTTCGGTCTAATCTTGTTCAGACATATATGTTTGGCTTATTCTTGCGAGGTTTGTCACACATAAGTTCTCCACATTCTTTTTTCTCATTTGTATGCCTTTGTCGTATGTGTTGTTTTTTAGGTTTCTCTCTTCTATCATTCAAATGATCTGAAGTAAGGTTTATTAGGAAAAGAGAATTATACGGAGTTGGACAAACTAACGGTTCCTTTAAAAATAAAAGGGGAAAGGAACAAAACTACTTTAAATATTTTAAGCTTTAGTCCTCTAAGTCTGTAGATTGCACTTTACAATTTCACATTCGACTATTCAACACTAATATGTTTCTTTTTCATTTTGACTTGCTTGTAGTTTCCACTGCACAGTTTCATCTTTTACTATATTGCGTACTTTTGTGTTTTCAGTTTTACTAGTTTATCGCTTGTACTTTATTGTTTCGTCTACTTGTCTGCTGTGAACTGCTTTGTTTTATGTTTACAGCGTACGGTTCTATTTTTAGTTTATTACACAGTATTTTATAATGAGAATTAATTAATTAAGTTTTTTCATCATTGCAGATGTCGACGATCTCCTCCTTGTTCGGGCTAAGATGTGAGGGGGTGTGGAGTACAAAGTTATTTGTCAAAGAAGCATATTAGGAAAGACTGCCCAATTTCTACCCCCACCCCTCCACCACACACCCCCAACCCCCCCCCACCTCCACGATTGCAGTGGAGATGAGTTTAGCGGAGATGCACACTGAATCTACTAGCAGAAGTTGACAGGAAGCCTAGCACATTGAGTCTTTCAGCAACACATAATTTTTTTTAAGATATTGACAGTAATCTTTTTATTTTTTTAATTAAACAAAGAACTAATCATTTTTTGTTTCCAGGGCCTACCCCCCGACAGAAGTTTCACACCATTAGGGATATCATTCAGAGAAAATATGGGTTAGCTTACTTGTCTGAAAGGAGATCTCGATGACACTTTGAGATCTTTGATTATAGGAGTTGCGATGTATATCGTTTAAAAATAACTTAAGTTGTCTTATATATTTTTCAATCTAACATAATCCCTATAGGTTTGCAACAATATTTCTCTTGGCGCCCTGAGCACGAAGCACACTTCCAGCTCAACTTCAAGTGAAAGGACAACGATGGCCTGTGAGACATGTTCAATGATATTAAAAAATCGTGGTAGTGTCCCTTGTGGCTCAAAATGGATATTTTTTCCTTGTTTCTTAGGGCCTAGAATTTTACAGAGTACTAGAGGAAGAGGGAGCAAGAGGAGCAAAACTGGCGCTCGGATTGTCGAGGCATGGAACCCTACAAGCACACTGATGGGGTGCTCCCAACACAATACAAGTAATGGATGGTGAGATTTCATTTTTGATTTAAACTTTACTATAAATCAAACATATATTATAATGATTTTGCTATAATGTAGATTGTAAGCAAGAGCCCTCCACTGTCGATGTACATGAGCGTACTCATAGAAGGAAGTCGAACCAGTCGTGGATCTGTAAGCAAGAGCCCTCCACTGTCGATGTACATGAGTGTACTCATAGAAGGAAGTCGAACCAGTCGTGACCACATATCCTGTAACCCAAGTAATTCATGGCTAAACTGGTTTGATTTTTATTCATGCTAGCTCTATATGTATGTAAATACTCTTATTTAGGAGAGGTTCCAGCAAGTGAAGAAGAGCTGATCCTAGACATCCGACGATATTTCTATCTGAGATCGTGATCCGATCAAGTATGACCTATCAAGAGAGGCTGCCAGAGGGAAGAAGAAGGGTCGATTCTACCGACTCAGGTCTCAGGTGTTTGCCTACGATGCTCACCCCTCCACCGGTGCATTTTTAGCTTCTACGTCTACCACACATGAGGGGGAGGTCTCTAAGTGTATTGCCACATTGGCTATTGAGATGGAGGCCCACTTCGCTCATGTGAGGTGGGAGCTACATGTAAATATGGAGGCCAAGTTGAAAATCGAATTACGTGCATTCATTTGGCGGGCGAAGCAACATAAGAAGGAGCAATTAGGGGAGGAGAGCGGAGGATGATGATGAGGAGGATTAGCGAGGATATTTTTCATTTATATTAATATGAATCTGTTGAACATTTGTGCATATGTTTTCTTATTAAACAATGATGTATTTATGTTAAATTAAATACATTTCATTTATTTAACGGTTTGATTGAATAACTTACTATACGAGTGTGGTTTTAGTTTGTAAAATGTTTGGATTGGTAAGCTGTGTTGTGATTGCAGGTGTGGTAATTGTAAATACCAAAGAGAAAATTTGTTTTTTTTTTGTTTGTTTATTGATGGAGGCCCGCTTTCGCTCATATAAAGTTGGAGCTGCAGGCAAATATCGAGGCGAAGTTGAAGACAGAGTTGGATGAGTTATGGTAGCGGGTGAAACAACATAATAAGGAACTTTTAGAGTAGGCGGCGGCGGCGGAAGACGATGATGAGGATTAGCCATGACATTTTTTATTTTATTTGTATATGATTCTGTTGAAAATTTGTGCAGATATTTTCTTATTGAATAGTGACGTATTTTTGTTAAATTAAATACATTTTATTTATTTAGCTGTTTAATTGGATAATTTACTATTTGAATGTAATTTTAGTCTGTAGACTGTTTGGATTGGTTGAGCAGTGTTGTGATTGCAAGTGTGGTAATCGTAAATACCAAATAAGGAATTTATTTATTTTTCTTGTTGATGCCACAAGTGTCCTACGGCTTACTGTCTATTATCACTATTCAATTATTAGTCGCCATAACCGAAATTTTATACTGCCAGTTATATTTGCATCGAGTTACTGATGAGTGTTCAATGGATATTGCTTCAATACAAACCAACAACAAATCGGTGGCTTTCTCATTAATTAATAAACTGATACACCCTCAACACCATACCGACAAAACACCTGTGTCATAGAAATGAAGGCCACGACACTTTTCTCGACGGTTAACCAGTTGCTAATATTCAACGGTGTCTTGGTCAGTTAACAAAACCAACAATAACCAACGGTGGCCCGTGCTTTATAAATTATTCAAAAGTGATGATTACTTTGTGTCGGTAAGTCGTTGGTAAATCAATGCCATTGGGAAATTTTGTCAATTAAAAAGTTACCAATAAGCATTTTAGCTACGGCCATAAAACAGTCAATTAACCCATCAAAAATGTAATAAGCGACGGTTTTTTTTCGTTAATAACTGAAAAAGTCAAACCGTCTGAAATGGACTGCATTGCTGTAGTGGATCATATATCCAAAATTTTGGCTAGTCCATTGTTATCCATTCCATAACCACCAAAAGCTTAAGTTACGAAATCCATTCAGGTTCAAGAAATCATCAAACTTAATGATGTGGTGATCAACTATGGCTCATAGATGTTGAGAAGATGGCTTTTCCAAAAAATAATTTATGATATTGCTAAATGGATCTTGAGTCATGTGAAAGCCTTGTGCAATTAAAACTCAAGCAGAAGCTTGGGATGGAGTTTGGGAAATTTCCACAGACCTTACTCAATGAGAAAGTTACAAATATAAACACCATAGTTGCATAAAAATAATATTTCATTACTACAATAATTTATGCACAGGAAGAAAAGATTTTTCTAATTTTCTGTATAAAATAATCTGTCAAATTCAATCAAATTAAATTTTTTTTTTTTTAATTTTGCGATGAACTCATTTTTTTTCTTACTGCATTGAACTCAAACAACGATTTATGAATTTTTTTTCTTCTCAATATATTTTTAAATGTGATACAAAAACGGTAAACCTTTTAGCCAATCTAAACTTTATATATCTCCATAAGTTTGATATTTTCGATTATTATTGTGATTTCTTCATTGCTCCTAAGTTTGCGAGTGATTTGTAGCATAATGTATCCAATGAAATTACCCACTAAGAAAAGGCTGTTTTTCTTCCTCCAATGAAATTACCCACTAAGAAAAGGCTGTTTTTTCTTCCGTTGCACACCATCTAAGGTAACTGAATTGGCCTTCAACATAGCGTTTTGTTTACTTCAGTACATCTTGTTCCCACACATCAAGCAATACTTGGGCAATGAGTAAGCCTTCGCAAATAGAAATACAAATGAAAAAAGAAAAAATCATGGTAGTACAAGTCCTAATCGTTCATTTGAAACCAGCACCGTAATTCTGACTTTCACTTCAATCTATTAGCACCATTAACTCTTTCAAATAAATTTCCCCATCTCATGCTGAAATTTCTCGAAGTGCTCTTTTTCAACACACTGTGTCATGATCCTTGCCCCCTGCTTCGGCACCGGTAGAGTCCCAATGACGGCCATCGCCATGAAATCATCGTAAGCAAATGGTATGACATTCACCGGTTTGCCCCACCCATAATCCACCTCCCTAAACCCTAACCTTGTCCAGTCCGACACGAACAAAGAATTGTAAGTGAAGGACAGCTGAAACGGATCGTCCTTATAGTCCCCAATGACCCATTTAGCGAACTCTTTTGGCAGGCCGCTCTTCGCATCCCTTATGATTTTCATCACGTCCACAAGGTTCGACTCCGCCACTCTTCCGGTAGTGGAGGTGACCGTTACGGGGTAGAAGCAATTGCCGTAGTACCCTCCCTCTTGGGGAAGAATATTAGTGAGAAGTTGGCGAATGTTGGCGAAGAAGCAAATGTGAACCAACTCATCGGGCTCGAACCCGATAGAGCGGGCTCGAGACTGCCATATCATGGCAACAGAGGCGTCGAAGGCGGAGCAGTGTTTCCCTGTGGAATGAAAGAAGTCTGTTTTGAGCTTTTGGATGCTGTCGGCTGAGAAATCTATGGTTGTGGATTCAAGCTTGAGGTTGTGGATGACAGGAGGAGGGCCTGATTGCTGGAGCTTGGGCGGTTTGGGGAGGAGGTCCCGGGCCCAGATGGGGTTAAGGCTGGGTTTTGGGAGCCCGCGGGCCGTCTCTCCAATTGCGTGTGCCTGATTGCTGGAGCTTGGGCGGTTTGGGGAGGAGATCCCGGGCCCAGATGGGGTTAAGGCTGAGTTTTGGGAGCCCGCGGGCCATCTCTCCAATGGCGTGCCTTGAGGTTGTGGATGACAGGAGGAGGGCCTGATTGCTGGAGCTTGGGCGGTTTGGGGAGGAGGTCCCGGGCCCAGATGGGGTTAAGGCTGGGTTTTGGGAGCCCGCGGGCCGTCTCTCCAATTGCGTGTAGGAACTGAGCAAACCCGAGGCCGTCGCCAATTGTGTGGACTACGAAGAGGCCGATGGCGAAGCCACCGC